AAGCAAAACATTCGGCAGTTTGGCGAGCTGCAGCCCAGCTGCAGCTCCTGGAACTAGGAGTGGGGGCGAAGGTCTATCATCTATGATCTCGATGATCAGTTTCAAGTCTGGGCCGACCGTCCATCCAAGAACCGGCACTTCTGACGAGGGGTCTTCTCAAGAACCAAGCTTCTGGCAACCGCATTTGCCTGAGTTGCATCAGTTGTATTACTTGTCGTCTCAAGTCGGTAGTGCTACTTCTAAATGCAGGTTGAGTGCCGGCGTCGAATCCTAGTGTGGACAGGGATCCCTCCAGTCGCAAAGACGCACTCAACGGCTACCTAGCCTGCAAGACGGAGCCGCAGCATGCAGTGCTTGCGTGGCGCGTCACCTTCCAGACTGCCAGATGGTCAACAAGGCAGAAGCAGACATCTTTGCAGAAGCCATTCTTCTACGGTAGAAGGACAATCTACCCGGTGTGTGCAGAGCCACATTGCGCACCACCATTCGACCATCCAACTTCAAGCTTTGGTAGGACAGGTTCTGGCCATTGGTAGGAATTTGCAAGGGCATCCCACGAGCATGCAGAAAGCTAGTCTGCCGAATTCCAGGTATGCTTTGAGAGAATCGATTCCTGCTCTGGACCAGTAGTCTGTTGGCATCGCAGGCGTTGAATGAGATGAGGTGCATTGATACAGTCCCTAGTCCTGATCTGCATTACTGAAGTGCAAGATGGAAACCGGCAGTCTTGTCTGAAAGGAAACCCTTCAACCCAGAAGGATCTGGCAAGAGGGGTGAGCAAAAAGACGCAATCTCTGAAGAAGGTCCACGAGGTTTCATCTTCCGGGAGCACAAGATGGCTCCGACGAGACAGAATTCAGCCTGCAGCAGGGTGGACACGGGCCTGAAGGTACGCGAAACATTAACGTGTCGTGTCACTCACACATTGCGGCTCTTGATGCTCATGACCTGTAACAGTAAGCAGAGTGATTGTGCAGAATGTACAAAGGGACCTTCCAAGACCCAAGTCTGAAGTGCTGCATCACCACCGCCTCCGCAAGGCTCTGCTAGTCCTTGAGGCTTTCATCTTGGTCAATCCTATATTGAAGTAAAAGCTCTCCGCCATGCGCTGGGTTCACACTTGTTCTTGGCATTGTTCTTGCCTGCCTAGGGCACATCCACTCAACAATGTTGTGAGAGTCACGCCCTTCCTGTTGTGCAGGGCGTTCTTGCGGGTGCCCCCGAAGAACAAAGTCAGGCTGGAAGGCCCTCGGCGGGCACCATCGTTGGAAAGGCTTCTGCGGCGACAACGCAATTCTGCAGATTGGTGAGACACACGCAGAGTGGAGCTTCATTTCAACGGTGATTGGGAGCTCGTGTCCATCCTGTACGAGATCCTCCATACCACATCAGAGTTTGTGCTCCCCGTGATAGACAGCAGGAGAAGGCTTGTAGATAGGCTGTTGATCTTTGTTCAATGCATTGCACTTAGAATAGTTCTTGTTCCATGCATGCCCTGTACCTGGCTTTCTACATCTCTTCTGCTTCCTCTGAACCCTCGGCAAATGCTTTTTTCGTTGCTTCCAACTTCCTGAATCGCTACCTTTTGCAATGGGGAATGCTTAAAACAACACGTTGGGACAGACAGCTGGCATTGTGTGTGCCGATTGCAACAAGGATTGTGTCTGAAAAAGGTGACAGGTGTCACCAGTCACCCGGCTCTGTTTGACCGAGAGTGGATGGTAGGACTGACAGGTGGCAGTGTGTAGTCATCAGTCCACTGTCTGAGGCAGGGTTTGCTAATTGCTTTCACTGCGCTGATTCTTGAGGGAAGAAGGATGGAAGAAAGACAGTTGTCTTTGAATGGGGCTGTTCTTGAACAAACGCTTTCGTTGACCAAGTTGGAACTCCAATCCTACGTGGCCTTACTGGTACTCACATAACACTTTCGTATAACTTCAGAAGGTGTTTCTTGCCTGACCCAGACCCCCTACCGGGAACCAATTCGTCAAACCAGGAGGCGATGCATATCTTCCAAGGCCATAAGAAGCTTCTGATCTTGATCACATTCTCTGTCTTTGCAACAGGTTCGACGGGGATGTGAAGATGCGACTCAAGCGCGGGATCAAGTCAGACTATGTCAGAAGGACTTGGCCAAGAGGCCGCCCTGGGGAAGCGGGCTCACGCCTGGCAAACAGGTCAGTGCAGCATGCAGACTGCAAAGGTGGCTTGTAAGGTCTCTACATGAAGATCACTTTCACTTTGAAGAGCTCTTTGCACCAAGCAAATATGCTGCTCAAGAGAATGCTGACTGGTAGTAGTCTTTTCAAGTTTCAAAACTTCTGTCAAAGCCAAAACTGAAATTCAGGTGCATGTGTGACAGGTGGCCTTCTTGTTGGACTTGAACGTTTACTCCCACGAGTTTCATCGGGAGTTGCTGTAATTAAATGCTGCCAGTAAATACTCAAGAAGATACTTCAATAACTGTCTCGCAGAATACTTTGACATACTACGCTTGTCTGTATCTCTTCACATTATATTATGGTCAACTTAGACTCTCTTGTGAATATGCATATCTGGTGCCCTTTTCGTCCGGACTTCTGCCAGCCCCTGCTTCCCTCTTTCTCGCAGCAGCGCAGCACGCCCCTTCGCGTTGGCCCCCCCAGCCGCCACAGCAGAAGCTCCTTGGCTGCCCACCCCCACTGCACCCACGCAGCAGAAACCCCCGGAGAAGCAGCTCTTTCAACAAAGCGGACTCTGTCATTTGTGCCAGCGCCAGCACAGCTCGACGACGCGTCCGCACCCCAGGGGCCCACGCTGAGCAGGTCTGCCGGAGCTGCAGAAGGAGAAGAGGCGATATGGCCGCCGCACCATGGGGTACAGGTAGGTTAGCCAAGGAAACTCCTCAACCCTGCGATGCAAAGAATGGTTCTCCGTTCTGCGCGCACCGCTTGCTGCTTGCTGCTTGTGCTATGGGACGACAGCTAGCAGCACGTGTATGGTTACCTCGGTCAGAAAGATTGGCAGCTTGAGGAGGCTCTATTTTATGCGCGTGGCATCAGAAAAAGAAGGAGACTGTGACTTTTGGATTCATTCCGGATATGTGAGCCTCAAAATAAGACGGGATAGCTCAAAAAAATATGTGAATTCATTCCTTTGCAGGGATCGGCGGTGGCGGCCAAGCAGACCAAGAAGCAGATGGGAGACGTACACATTGCGGGAAAGCAATTGGCACAGGTCGATCCGGGTCAGGCAAATGTGAGTTTTATACCTTGGCATCAACTTTGAACGTCATCAGTGAACCACTGCATGTGTCCAAGCAAAGGCTTGCTGAAAGCTGGATGTCGTTTGGGGCGGTCCTGATAGGAAAATCTCGCTGTTGGCGGAAACAGCTTTGGGAGCTCCGTCAGAACGACGCAGCTTGAGATACAATTGCAAGAAATCAAAATTTGCGCCAAGCCAATCAACACAGACTCGGCCAGACCCATGCGTAACCTTTTGTGTACAGGCCGCCTCCCTCGCCCCGTCGTCCCCTCGCTCCCCCCTCGACCTCTGCACGCCTCAGACTGACGTCAGCAGAGCGGTCGCCGACTCGCCCCCGGTCCCCGCCACTGCGCAGCAGACAGGAGCCAGTGGAGAAGCCGACGCCAAGCACCGCGCGCCCCTCGAGGCGAAGCTCGCGCAGGCGCAGGCGGAGCGGGCCACGCTGCAGGCGGCGCTGGAGAAGGTGGAGCGCGCACTGGACAGGGAGCTTCGCGCCGGGGTCACCTTGGAGCAGGGCTTTGCGCGCGCGCTCCAAGGAAGTGTGAAGACGGTCGAGGCTGCAGAAGCCGAGGTGAGAGCGGCGGACGATCTTCGTCGGAGGAAACCGCCGGTGAATCTGGGCTCCCTTACCTTGAAAACCTCACAGTTCCGGTTGACTCGACATATGCTTTCCGACTTTGTTGGTTTGCAGCACTGGGCTGTAATATCCAACTGAATTTTCTTGATCGGTGTTGGCTGAGAGCAGACTGGGAGCGGGTGTTTGAGAGGCATCGTCTCTTGTTCAGGTTTCAGAAAGATGAGCCGTTTTGGAGTCGGAAGCAAATAGCTGTTTCATGCTGGGCTAGATGACGGTCTCCAGGGTAATGATGCTCTGCTAAGATTACGTAACGTGCATTCGGAGAGAATCTGCAAAACTTTTCGTTGTTGCCTGCTCAGGATTGCTTATCTATCATACGCTTTGGTCACGTAAGAAAAAGGACCTAAACTGCTCGTTAAGACATGTTTATTCATATGTGCAGGTTTAAAGAAAGCCATACGGTGCGGCAAAGAAGTCGCTCCGCCTTTTCTAGCAAATATCGCGGCCGCCCCTGGAGTGAGTACGACGGAAGAGGGAAGAAGAGCGTTGGGTGTCGTCACTTTCGCAGAGCTTGTATCAACATGTGTCATTTGGGAAAAGAATCTGCATTAATCAACGGCTGCTTAGATTTTCGTTGAGTTGTCAGCGCGTCGAGGTTTGTAATAGACCGCTGAGTGGGGTTTTCCCTCCTTTGCAGTGCGCAACGAGCGGGACGACGCGGAGGCGCGTGCCCAGGCGGCGCTGGAGAGCGCACGCGCGGAGCTGAGCATCGCCGCTACTGAGAAGGAGGAGGCGCAGACGCGCGCGCGGGCAGAGGCGCTCAAGCGCCAGCAGACGGAGGCAGAGGTGGGCTCTAGTGGATGGTAGTCCCTTTTGTCATGTGCGCAACCTGAGCCGCTGAGGCAAATCTTTGCTGTTTTAGAATTGGTTTGAAGTCCTCTAGCACGGTGCGAATCATAAAACGATCAGTTGCCGAACCCGATTCCTGCAGATCCTTCTCGAGTCAAGCTCTGGACTTGCTCTTACTCAGAAAATGCAGAGCATAGCACTGGAAGGCCCATACTTGAGGGTCGAATCATAAAAAGACTGTTTGACTCGTCCCTTTGTGGGCGAAATGCGTTCACACATGGTCATGCTTGAATGTGCTCGCACAATTTCTTTCTGATTGTCTCATGTATAATGCTGGCTATTCCTCGAACGACGAGCGACTTTTCAGCTGGCAACCCGTTTTATTCCTGCCCATCAACAACTGCGTACTGCTGATGTCCAAAAGGAAGAGCGGCCAATCCACAGAAAAACAAGCTTTTCAACGACGTTGTCCCCTGACGACATCAGAACGCCCTCTGACGTCATCAAAACGCGCTACTGGTCTATTTTGCGTCCAGGTCGAGAGCATGGCCCGCGAGTGCGCGGCTCTGCGCGCCTCCCTGACGGAAGAGCAGGCAGCGCGGGCTGCGGCGGCAGAGGGAGCGGAGGGCGAGCGCGAGCGCGGCCGCGAGGACGCCGACGTGGCGCTGCACGCGTCCGCCGAGACCATCGCGCGGCTGGAAGGAGAGTTGGCGCGCGCGCGGAGCGACGCGGCGGCTGCGGCATGCAAGCTGGAGGAGGTGGCGGCCAAGGTAAATATCCAGGGCCCACGAGCAGTGATTTGCCTTCCAAACAGCAAGTTTACGTCTATTTACAAGCTTGGAGCACTTAACCGGTGCAAATTCAGCATTTGTGCCTCCACTACAGTCACTCACTTGCAAACTATCATTTTTGCTTTGCCGACAAGACGCAACGCAACCTTGTAGAAAGATTTCCCCGTCTTTGATGAAATTCGCAGCATGCCTTTCTCGCTCTCCCACGTACGCGCTTTCCACTTGCAAGCGTCGGCATATCACTTGGGTCATCACTTCCTTTGCTTTCGGGGTTCGCGAGGCTCGACCACGAGTCTTCATTTACACAGCTTCTGATCACCCTCGTCTCCCTCCTGTAGGCGCAAGCGCTCGCCACACAGCTCGAGCAAGCCCAAGTTGCAAGCCGCCAGTCCCTCGCCGACGCCGCCGCAACTGCGTCGAAAGAGCGCGCATCGGCCCGCGCGCTCGTTGCCGCGGCAGAGGCGCGGCTTGCCGCGGTCGACAAGAAGGCGGCCGCCGCTGAGCAGGAGGCGGCTGAGGCGCGCGCACTCCTGGACAGTGAGAAAGCGCGAGCGACGCTTATGGAGGAGCAGCTCGAACAGGTGAACGCGATTGGAACCGGCCTTCTTCCGGGCAAAATTGGTTCGGAGCATCCCCACGAGAGACTTATTGCAAGGGCCTGGAACTCCACAATTTTGCGAAGCAAGAGAAACCCTTTGCGGAATGAATACGGCTTTGAAACCGCATCTTCCATTCCTGACTGCTCATTAGGACAAGAAACACGTTCGGACAGATTCCCGCAAAGACATCTCATTGAAAAGCTGTCAGAAAAACGGAAGACAACACTTAGCTCTGCTTCGTTTCTAAAGTGTTCGAGTCCCGACGTCACCAGCGCTTGGAAGAAGAGAAGAGCGAAGTCAGTTCGCAAAACAACCGTATGCTGAATAAGAGCTTGAGTTTCTAAAGGGCTAGGAGCTTCCGACATACATGCGACGTATATTTCAATTGTTTTTACTCTTCTCCGACAAACATCACGAGCTCTCTATCTGACGCCCAGGTCTTCTTCGAATGGGCTTTTTGCGAAAACGTCGGATACAAAAGCTTGAAATTCTTGATGCTTTTCGCAGTTGGAAGCTCGCCGCTTGGAGGCCCTTGAGCTTGCAGAGAAGGAGGCCGCGCGGCTCGCGCAAGTGGAGGCAAGCTTGGTCCAGACCGAGGCTTCGCTCGCGCTCGCGCGCGGTGAGGAGGCGAACGCGCGCGCGCAGGAGCGCGAAGCAGAGCTTGTCAAGGAGATCGAGGAGCTGCGCGCCGCCGAGGTCAAGTGGACGGAGAGCAACGCGCGGTTGGAAGCGGAGATGGGCAGGTGAGGGTTCCAAGCTTCTGCTTTTCCTTCAAAAGCATCCGTTGGTTTGTCATGAAGCAACAAGAGATTCGGCCGCTCTTCGTGCACGCAAATGATTCTTGAGATGAAACATTGATCCGCAGCTTTCAAATTGAAGCAGAGTGAAAGGATTCGGCAGAAAGATTCTCAAGACGAATAGTATCCCGGCAGGTAAAGCGAAAGTGCGAAGTCTCTTTCACTTTGCAAAAGACACAGAGAGCAAAATGAATTGTTAAGAGAAACTCGAGAACTGGTGCAAACATCCTGCAAAGGATGCTCGTGTGTTACTGCGAGTCTTGCGAAGGATGATGTCAGTTCCTTCTGACCAGCAACACATCGAACGGCATCCAGAAGTCTTGCGGTCCATTACTGAAACATTTCTTTGTTGTTCAGGCGCCTGAAGGCCGACGCCAAGGCCTCGAACGAGGAGGCGCGGCGCCGCAAGGTGGAGCAGCGGCTGGCGGACGGCGAGAACGCGCGCGCATACCTGGAGAGTAAGCTCCGCGAGGCAGAGGGCATAACGCGCGCGGCGGAGGCGGCCTGGGAGGAGAGCGAGGCCAAGAGGCAGGCGCTGAATGACGTGAGAGAGCACGGAGCGCTAGGTTTGGGCCACGTGTCACGGGCCTGAATAGCGATGAGACTCTTGGAAGTGTACAACGGATTGATTTGTCTGAGCCTTAGAGACATACGGGCTCGGTTGGCGCAAAGAGAACTCCTACCGGAGCCCTTTTATGTGCTTTGGAGTCAAAATCTCTTCCTGCTTTTGGCCAGGGCAAGTCACACTTAAACAACGAAGAAGCAGTCAAAGCGGCTCGAGGTTTTTGATGTGTTTCTTCCCTCTTTGTCGGTCATTCCTCTCCGGTCGTCAGCCAAAGGCTTTTTGTAAGCTCGACGCCGTCGCCACGACTTAGAGCCTGATAACTCGCCCAGGACAAACGTTTGCTTTGCTGGTGATTATTCGCAGACGCGAAGGTTCTGGCTGGCCGCAGATTTCTCCCTGCATCATTTCAACCGTGAAGCTGTCTTACGACGTTTCCGGCCTTCTTGCAGGAACGCGGCCAGTGGAAGGTCGCTGAGTGCAAGCTCGAGGAGCAGGCCGCGAAGCGCGAGGCTGCAGAGTCGATGGTGAAGGCCGCGACCGCGCGCGCCGAAGACGCGGAGCGGAAGCTGGAGGAGGCCCGGGAGCAGCTCGCGCACAAGGTCAGGACCGGACGTAACGCCAGACTTTTCTTATTAAATGTTGCAGACTTTCTGTTTGGTCGTTATGCACTTCTGCTTCTTTCACATTGGAGGTTTACTTCACAGTTGATGATTGAACCTAGACCTATTCGGTCAGGGGAAGTTGGATACCTAGCTGTGATTATCGGAATAACATCAGAAACATTCTTCTGTAAGTAAGGTGAAATTCCATGAGGAACAGGGGCGTACAGTTCTCTTGTTCTCTCATGTAGGACTCTGCGAGGTCCATAACAGTGAGATCTCTAAGAGCCCATACGGCGAAAAGTCAACGACTCCAGTCGCACCCTACTGCTTAACAACTGATCAAGCCTCTCCTTACGCCACGTGTCGCCATCTGCAGGTGACCAAGAGTACCCAGTCCCTCACCGCGAGCAGCGCCCGCGTCGCCGAGCTGGAGGCGGAGCTGTACCGGGCGCGAGCGGCCCACGTGGCCCTCGAGACCAAGTGCGCGACGGCGGCCGCGCGCGTGGCTGAGCTGCAAGAGACCGTCGCCGATAAGGAGGCGGACATTGCGGAGGGGAGCCGAGTGATCCAGGAACTGATGGCGCAGCTGAGCGAGCTCACCTCCGATAACATAGCGGAAGAGCGGCGGCTGAGGGACGAGGTGACGCGCGCGCAGGCGGAGGTGAGGACGGTCGACCTCCTAAAGGAGACGTGAGGAACTCGGACTGCGAGCGAGGACGATGAACTTAGAAGAGAAGCATTTTTGGCGAAGTGAATGGTCAGGATGACAAGGGATTGCTATTTGTACTTTACGGTTCGTAATTCACGGGAGACTCGGAAAACGAAAGAAGGCGGAACAGAAAACGAATGCGGAGACTTCATCATCTGAAATTATTGCGCTAGCATTGGCACGCTGACTTTCTCAAAGACATAAAAGCAACATTACTTTGGTCTATCTCTCTTCTTATTTATGCGTGTACATTAAAACCGCCTTCCCTGGATAAGCATTCCGGGCCTTTCCGGTCCTGTAGCCTCTGAATCATTGCAAGCATTGCGAGGACCCACCGCTACTAGCACTATCCTGTACGAACCATCTTATCATTTCGCCAGCAACTAATTCTTCTACGTTCTCTACAGGTCGCCAAGCTGAAGCGCGCGCTGTTAACGGCTCAAACCGCCCTGAAGAAGGCTTCCGCGCACCCCTCCAAGTCTAACGAAGAGCTGGAGCGGGAGAACTCGAAGCTCAAGCAAGAAAACACGAAGCTGCAGGTAAGCTTCACTGCTCAGCATCCTGTCCTTTCACACCTGCCAATCGAGGTAGCTCCAAACCCTTCAGCGATCCCCGACCACGAACCCTGGCGTCCTTTCAACTTCGCTTCAACTGGATTGTTGTTTCGGCGACCTCCTCTTGTTTTCTGTTTTGTTCTCTTGTTTCTGAAGAAGCGCTTTTGTGTCGAAGTCTATTCTGCACAGCCCATATCCGCACCCTGGCGTTCTGTCAACTTCGCTTCAAATGGTATGCTTGTGTCTGCAACCCCCGAGTGTTCTCATTTTCCCCCCCTTGTTTCCGAAGAAGCGCCTTTCTGTCGAAGGGTTTTCTGCACAGCCCATATCCGCGCTGTCGCGTCTGCAGACGGCGGCTGACGTGGCAGCGGTCGCGGATGCCGCGGATCGGCGCGCATTCAAGGCGCACCTGGAGACCGAGCGCGAGCACGGGGAGACGCTGATCGAGCAGCTGCGCGTCAAGAACGAAGAAGTGGACAGCCTGGAAGCGGTCAGCGCACGCGCCTTTCTCATATTAGCGCTTTGCTGTGAGTGCTTTGCTCCAGGCGTACCAAGAGCTGGGCGAATGCCGAGGACCCGAACGTGAGCCGTTGGGAAATTTGATACGTTGCGCTTTACCCTTGGAGGATTAGATTGAGACCGTCTTAAGTGCCCGAAAACTTAAAATCAGGAGTTGTTATGACATGAGACTGGCATGAGACTTGCATAAGGTTTGTGGGGAAAGCTAGTGGTTCCCTGAAGGTCCGGGACTTTCGATCTTGCCTTCCGTGACTGACGTTCATGCCTCAAATCTTTTTTCCTGTCCTGCAGGAGGTCCTGTTCCTGAAACAGCAGCAAAATGAAACCTCCAACTACCGGGAGGTGAGTTGCACGATTCACCGTGTACTTTTCCGTCGTTCTCAACGAGTCTTTGCCGTCCTTTGCTGTCACCCATTTTGCTGCTGTCTTGGTATGAGCGTGTGTCGAATCGTCAACGGACGCCAAATACTTCGGCTGGCGCCTCTGAACATGTTTCGTTTAAGAGCAGGACCGATGCAATTGCTTTCGTAAGCGGAGCACCGCATCCATTTGCATCATCCTTTGTTCCTCGCGTACACGCCGCGGCTTTCTGGACCGCTTGATGTGGACATATCCCAGCAGATTTTGCAGATAAGTGTGCTTGAGCCCGCAAGATGGCCTATCTTTTTTCCGTTTCGATCTTCTGAGCCGCGTCGATTCTTCGATATCATGCAGTTGCGCGCGTACACTATGTTGCACGAGCTGGGGGGCAAGGTGAGAAGCGTTCTTGAACCTTCGATTAAATCCGCAATCCTTCCTTTGATTGAATCCGCAATCCTTCGTTCGTCTCAAGGCTTTCAGAAGTTTGACAAGCAAGTTGTGCATGATTAGATGGGCGCGCGCACGAACTTTTGGATTTGAGAAGTGGCAATACTCTCTCGAAGCCAAGGTCGCCTTCGTTGCCACGTCCAAAGTAGACATTGCACTTCTTTCGAATCTTGTTGATTGCGGCGTACGTTTTCCCATGTGCTGATGACCCTCCTGGTTTGCTTTCCAGATGAACGAGATCCGCCACAAACTGACCCAGTTGCTCGTGTCCTTTCAAGAGCCCGGAGTAAGCACCTGCCTTGATGCTGTGCTTAGGTCTTAAGGAACCGTTGTCTCACGCAGAACAATACCTCAGTGCGTGGTTTTCTCCCAGGAATCTTAGTTGATGCATGGTGCCCCGTATCTTAGCCAAAGTTCCTAAACATTGCAACTGTCTCTTGGGCAAACTTTGTCGCACTTTTTCCAACCAGGACAAAATGCCAGCAAGGACTTCGTTTGATCTTTTCGTTCATCGCGTCAAAATCAGCTCCGAATGATTGCGCCTCCGAAGGTGTTGCATGACATTTTAGCGTCCCGTCACGTGGTTTCAATGAGCGTGTTGAAGCGTGCCTTTTTACCATGCTTTCGTCTTCTCTGCAGCCATCTTCCGCCCACTCCCTCGCCTTCATCCACGACGAGGTGAGTGCTGCCTCTCTCTGAGGCCGTACTTCCGTCGCGCTTCTGAATCGCTTTACAGAACCGTCCAATTCCGTCCGCCTCCTCTTTGCGACCAAGCTTTCGCTCAGCAGCAGCTTGCCCGAGGAAGGGCACCTGCTTCGCAAATTGTCGGAGGCTCGTATGGACTAGATCAACACTTGCTGCTGGGGACCTCTTGAGCAAGAGCTCCGACAAGGGCTTTATCCTATGATCCTTCACATGGGTTGAGATAGCCTTCCGGAAGTTGCTATATCCGAGAAATATTGCAGCATCGTTTGCTCGAAACCAACAGTCCTTGTCTTCGCCGACGACGAGAATGGGCAACGATTTCGCTTGAAACACAATGACTCGGTTTTCAAGGTCTAAGTTGAAGTTCCCCATGATACTTGTTAAGGACTGCCCCTTATATATCGTGTGCCTGCGACGAGTGAACGCATCATGCGTTCACTTGTCGCAGGCACACGATATCCAATACTGTTCGGAAGCTATCGCCTTATGATGGAAAGTGGTGGAATCTAGACAGGCTATGCATTGGAAGCGTGCATGTGACATGAGCAAAAGACTTCTTCAACAATCGGCATCATGGAAGGTTGTTGGATTAGAAAGCCAATATATACACGCGGTTGAATATTACTTACCGAAAAATTCTACCGCTCAATCAACTCGTCGAACTCCTTCGACAATTCCTTCCTCGCTACCATGTACTCAGTGACACAGATACATCGCCTCCAGTTTCTCTGAATGCGACTCACAGCACGCCTTTGACGAATCACGATGTACGCCAATGCATTCCTGATTTGAGTCCACTCCCGAATGTATGCACCATCGTAATCCCTAGTCAGATACCCCCAACGTGACCATGTCACTTTTCTATTCTGTTTTTATGCGCAATTGAACCCCTAGCGTGTGCTCTGCGAAGCTTTGATCTGGAAGGCTTGGAGCTGCCAGACGGCAAAAGGGTAATTTACAGTGGTTATGCAGATGATACAACTTTATTTCTCTCCGGAATTGAGGATCTCTCGCAGGCTATCCCCATCTTTAACAAGTACGCTTCCGTTCTTATCCGTTGCAGCACTGCAATCCCTCCCTGCCGTTGTCAGCGGTTTTTCTTTCGCCGGTTCCGTCTCCTGATCGAGCACGCACGCTGTGCAGCTTGCGCGCCTGCGCGCCTCCCTAGACGCCGAGCACGAGGAGGACATGGACGTGGCGGGCCCTAGCTCTTCCCATCCCCCGGTACGTCGCCCGTTTCCAAAATCACTCTTCTGGTGGAGATGTGTGTGCGTGTTGTGCTCAGTGAGAAAGACGCATCTACAAAAGCGCTGCTGCCTGCGAACATTTGGTAGCTTGTGCCAAGCATCGAGCGGATGACACGTCATTAAAGGCAACAAGCGAAAGACACGTCATCAATAGCATCGGGCAGATGACACGTCATCAAAAGCGCACCTCACACTGATTCAAATGGACAGCAAAAACGACGCGCTTAACTGGATGCATTTACAGCCTCTGCCGACCCCTCTCTGGTTGTGACTATTGGGGGTGTTTACCTCCCTCTGCAATTTCAATCGTCGCCTGTGATTGCCAATCGTAGTTCGCGTCTGGCAGGGCCCCTCAGAATAGCTGCCCGTCCACGGTAGAGGCCCTTCGTGAAAGTTTTGGCTTCATTTCCTCTCGGCCTTACCATGAGCTTGCTACTCTTGTCAGGCCTCTCCGCAGCAAGGGGCGCCGGATAAGTCGGTCAACGACACAGAGGTTGGCGACTGCGGCCTCACCGGCTGGGGGGAAGTGGACGATGCGATTGTTCTGGTGGATACCGGGTGAGTAGCAAGAAATGCTGCTTTTTGCCGTGAACCACCGCGAAAGCGTCGGACGTTATCATCCTGTTGCCTCTACAAGTAATTTCAAACATCGAGTTCCGGTCGGCTGTCGGCTTCGAGCAATCACCGTGTGTTTCGGCGTCCGGACGGGGGGCTAATGAAGCTCGTCGTCCGAAACCGTATGATTGCGTTAGCGCCGTCATTTCCCCGTAATAACGCTGAGCACTGACATTTAATTAGTTGTTTCCTATCTCCACAGATCCGACGCCGTGGATGCGGCTTAGAGAAACCTATTCTAAATAACCGGCGGCTGTTTGAGACGGCGCGGATTCGCTTGAGGCCTAATTTCTTGTGATGCAAAGGACGGGATAAACTGTGATTATACTTTTTCGTCGTGTTGGATAGTCAGACTAGGCAAGTTTACGGAAGAGAGATCGTAGAAGAGGACGCGTGAGCCACGTGCATCGAAGTGGGGTACCACAAGTCAGACGTGTTACAAAGTTGATTCCGTTGCTCTGTGCTGATCCGCAGCCGGAGCGGAGAGGAGCTGGTGACAAGCGGCAACTGCTTTCCAAATTTGCATCAATCTGCATAGTAGTTCCTAACACGTTGTGAGGTTTTGGGCGCAGTGGCAGACCTTAAGTGATAAAAGAGAGCAGGTTTCAAAAAGATCGAAAGGTTCTTGTTCATAGGGGGTGATTATAGGGTTACCGAAGCCAGTCTGCACGCCGTCAAGGACTCGAGCAAGTCAGAGATCCTCCAAAGCTCAACATAAGCTTTCAACCGCAAGGACCGTCAAGCCGTCACTGGAAGCGTCAGATCAGACAAGAGCCCAACCAGCCGGCCGGCAGCAAGAGTTTTAAAATAGCAACTATAGGTACTAATAGGTTGACCTAGATTTGACTCTTTATCATACATAGGTATATTTGGTCATATCTCATAGAAATACACTAACTTGATCAATCCGTAAGCCATTTGCATGAGAATGATTATTCGCAGTATCTCATGAAAACGCGGCCATGCTTGAAGTTTCCTTGGTTGCTCGTATATTGAGATACGTGACTTAATCTCGAAGTGTAATCTTGATCGACGTCAACTTCGTATATGCAAGGTGCAGCTGGTCCATCATGGGAATCTTATGACGTTGACAGCTACCGTCTAGGTTACGTCCTACATGCTCTGCAACGCGGCTCATTGCAGAGTGCTCACAATTCCATTTACATGCACCCCGGCCAGTACTTCTCGAATACGTGGACGGCCGCGTTCGGCCTTGTGTCAAATTCTGATCAGCATACACTTCTTCTGTAACGCCCTAGCCTGACGGAGCTATAGTTGAATCGCATAGCGGCGGCGCAGCGGCATACTTATACATATAGCAACCGTCGTTTCAATGTTGAACATGCGCATGCATAACCCGTGCCTGCAGCAACTGTTCGATCATCAAGGCCTGACATGAAAGGCGCGCTAGCTGCATGAGAAGTATGGTAACCTTGAATGTACGTGTTCAAATGCCTCTAGCGTGATAACAAAACAGAAATAAGTTGCGAAGTGCTCGAGTAATCACAACCACACTGATGCCAGCTTTCTGCACGTAAGAAAAGCAATTCTGCTATAGGCCTGCGCTACCTTTCAGTCTATTGCTAATGATAGTCAACATTCTATTGTACAACCTGGGTTCTCCAAGTGTCAATGTCGCAAAAAATAAATACGTAAATATGTCTACAACACTTCGCAAGATCGAGAAGCTTTGTATAACTTCGCTCTATCATTGAATCTTAACCTATATAGCAATGGTTCTATCCAATGACTACCTTGCCTGAGAGCCGCACCTCAGCAGGCAACATCTCTTTCTGGACGCCCTTACACCCTCTTATTTCTACCCGCGCCTTGGTACCGCTTTCTGCATAAGCTTTTAGAATCTCTGAGGTTACAAGCTCGCAGTTTGCGATAAGAAGACTCCTAAGTTGATGGCACCCGAACAATATCTTTCTAACGGTGCGATCCGTCAAAGCAGGGCACCTAACTATGCGCAAGTTTTCCAAGCTCTGTTCCTCTGCAATCTGCTGCAGCATTTGATCGGTTGCGCGGTCAAACCGGCCAACGCCCAATTCTTTCAACCGCAGGTACCGCCTGCAACATAGGAACAGTGAATAAGAAGGCAGTCGAAGAGATCAGCAGAGAGCCTTGACAACAAGTCCTATGCAATCTTACCAGGAGCACAAGAACCTCATCCGTCTTAGTTTGAATCATCAGATTGAGGCAGAGCAGAAGAGGATCTTGACCAGCAGGCTGCAGATCAAAGACATTTTGATTGAACGCTGCTGCCGACAGCTCGAAGGGATGGGACTTACCCGCTGCGCGGAACCTGCCAGAGCTGACTGTTGTCTAATAAAGTAAGATGATCAAGACGACGCAGGCGACACCGGAGGATCGCAACCCCGCCGTCGGTGATGCCCGGCTCGCTCACGATGCGAATGTCAGCCAGCAGGGGGCAGTTTCCAGCAAAGCGTCGCAGGGTGGTATCAGTGATGCCGCAAGCTATGGCAGTAAGCTTTTCTAGGCTGGGGCAGAGCAATGCCACCTTCTCGAAGCCAGCGGCCAAATCGGTAACCTGCCCCTCCCTCCTGACTGTGAAGTGCCGGAGCTTGGGGCATGCCGATGCTACTGCCCCAACACCAGCATCCGTCAGCCCACTGCAGTAATGCACGTCGAGCTGCTCGATTGGACACTGGACCCCCTCAAACGCTGCCCCGCTGAACCCCTCGCAGTGGTCCATGCGCAGCGTTGTCAGCTCTGGACACCGCCTCAGAACAGTAGCCAGCCCCTCATCTGAGACGACACCGCAGCGGACCAGAGTCAAACGGAACAAATGGGGGCAGCTCTTTGCCAGCAAAGCCAGCGACGCATCACTCAGGCAAGCTGGCACAGTCCCCTGGAGCTCTAAGCCTTTTCCAGTGTCCGTGAGCTGAACAAAGCGCAGGTCAGCGAAGCGCAAGAGAATCCTAGGAAGGGAGGCAACTCGGGGCTGTCCTTGCAAGACCAGGGTGTTTCTAGCGTAGTTGGAAGCGTCGAGCCACTCGCGACACACCAGAGAGCACGCCCGGATGGAGGAGTTTCGCAAGTGAGAGAGTATCTTGGTCAGGCAGTGTATGTCGAGATCCAGAATCGTACTGCCTGACACAAGAGCACCCACAGCCCCAGCCCTCTGATCCACCTCCACCCCCTCTACCTCCTCGCTGTGGCAGGCTGCCCCGCTCAAAAGTACCTCCTGAGTCCTCCCACTGCCTGAGCCCTCCTTCCCCTCAAAATTCTCTTCCCCACCCACAGGCAGTGCCCCCTCAGTGGCCCCACACAGAACCCGCTCATGCAGACTGGACAGGACATCGCTCGCGTGCAGCACAGAGGAAACAAGCTCGTAGTCAAGAGCAGCAGGGACCATATCATCAAACGCTTCCTTTTTTTGTTCAGGTCCCTGCGCATCTGCTGTGTCCTCTCGGGGTATCTGCTGATCAGCGAGCTGGGGGCTGTGAGCGGAGAGGTCCTGGCTGCTGGAAAGAGGGGGCAACGAGGGGGGAGCGCCAGCCAGAACAGGAAGAGCTGAGGATGAGGAGTCAGGGACCAGGTCGAAAGAACCATCCTGAGTCTGCTCAGGCCCCTGACCCTCGTCGCAGGTCACCTCGCAAGTGTGCTGCTCCTGGAGAAGGGCGCTGCTTGCGAGAACCTCGACATCCTGGCTAGTAGCAAGAAGAGGAGACTGCGAGAGAGGGGAAGGAGAGAAGATGGACTCGCATCCCTCAACAACAGCGTCTCCGGTGGCTCTGGAGACCTGGAATGCTATCCTCTCTCCAAGAGCAAAAGCCTCTCCTACCAACCTCCTACCCTGAGCAACTAAGTCCTCCTCAAATCGCGTCAGACGAGAACACCTCCTCAAGAACTCCATGTCTACTCTAGCGGTAACGCGCTAACAGCTCAATCTCTCACGCTCGCTGATCACCAAAATGCACGACAGCAAAAGCCTGCACAAGGGCGCCAAAAGCGCAAGAGCATATCGAACAAACTCCTGGAAGTTTGCAACGTTGAGAGCTCAGTCAGCGCTAGCTGCTTCAGACACTGGCATCTAGGGGTGCGAGGGTGCGGGGTGCGTCAGCACTGCGCTGAGGCTTGCAGGGACGTGACCAGCACGCCAGATTAGAATCACTCAGGAGAATCAGGCGAGCAAGAGGGGTTAAATGGTCTGACGTGTGGAGCTTATTCTAAAATGGTAACACGTGGCTCCATCTTTGCATATTGACCGTCGATTTCCCATGAATTGGTTAAACCGTCGAGGTTCCGCAAAATGCTCAAAACCGAAAGACAGAAAGATAGAATGAACTAGGGAACGTGAAAAAATCGTGAAACCTGGGTCATGCAGCGGTCCGCATGCAAGAATTCCGGTAGAGGTCGCATCGGTACCGCGATTGGCCGTAGCCGGTGCTGACCTCCAACCTGTCATGGTAGAAAATGATGGCGACTTCTGCACTCTTTAATTGACTATTAGCACCGGTGAAGCGAAACGGTGGATACCGAGTGGCAAAACCGGGCGCTGACATCGGATGTACCCAAAAGACGATAGTACTAGGTATGTACCGTTACAGCGCGGATCCCAGGTTATTCCAGAAGCTGTTCTACATCGGTACCAAGTACTGTTGGTACATCCAACGAGTGTACATTACAAGCCAATCATTAGCTCCGGGAAAGTCGGGCCATTTCCAATCGGTCATTTGTCCTCGACCGGTGCAAAACTACCGCTGTAAACAGACCCTCTAATTGGAACAATGGTGGGTACTTTTAAATATGCTTTATATTCACGCGCAGCATTTCACGATGTACGGTTTGAGTTTCCCCCTTGTACACCCGTAAATCCATCTGGTGTATGTGTACCCAGACTTCCTATTGTAAATCGCAGCGAAAATCCTCAAGAACAAACGAATCGACGATCTCAAGTAGCTAAAGGCTGACGTCATCATGATCCGACGACCCAAATCCAGAATTGAGGATTAATCTCAGATTTTACAGCCCGAAGGGTGTCTCTGTATAATTTTTAGCTCGGTTTTTTTAAAAAACGAGCTCTCGTGTTTCCCCCTGGGGTTTGGATTAGCGATAGCTGGGCCTCAAGTGCAAATCACTCAGTTAAGCGGATTTTATCCATCGAACACCAGTTTTGAGTCACTCAAGGTTTGAAATAGCTCGACTCGATAATTCGATGTTCGATGGCTCGTTGCTGCTTTTTTTGTAGCGCCAAATCTCCGCACGTGACCTCTATACGTGCGACGAAACCCTGCCGTCCTGCCCGCATTCCAGTGCGCGGCAGGGACCCGCCGCCCGGCCGCGTGTGTAGCGTCTGGTCTCAAAAGACAGCCGTCCGATGGTATCTTGTCGACCAATCGATTTGAGTTGTTGCACGTGGGAATTCGGGCTGTGGCTGCCTGCTTTTGTCAGAACCGGGCACAATCCTGTCGACTCGAATACACTACAAGTCACAACCGGTAGCAGGATTCATAGGACCTGCAACGGCCGTTGCGCCGTAAGCTATACAAGCCGACCCTCTATGTATCTTGCACCGGCCAGTTTTTATTAGTGACTGTAGCCTGGTCAAATGCCCGGTAGTCGTCCTATATGCTAGCCCACCGTCTCGCAGGCTCAGCTTCAATCCGAAGTTCACGTGTGAAATAGCACGTATTAGTAGCCGTCCGATTGTGTTTACGTACGCCTTTGAGACGCTTCGATTGCGTGAAATCACACTGCGATGATGAATTATTTAGACCTTGCGTAAACACGCTCCACGGAAAGGAATCTCCCCCAAAACAAAGTACATTATGAGGCGAAAATCGAGCATTCACACCGCATCGCGGTTTAGCATTTTTTCTAAAGACTCTTACAGGATGGATTCGGGTGGCCCATCAGACTGGCCTTCCAGGCCATTTTTAGCTCGGTTTACTGACAAAGTCAGTACCGAGCTGTCACAATCGACCCCGGGGTTTCAGAAAAGGGGGTAAGTGGCGATGCAGACCGGATCACTCTAATAAGCCTGGTTCGGCCCGTCGAAAGCTACTTTTAGTGAGTCAAGACCTGATTTTGCAGACTCCCGTTTTCGACGGTTTTTGAGGTTCGATGCTCCGGAATTTTTTTTTTTGGGTCTTAAACCCTGAACCCCTGCACGTGCCTGCCCGGTCGAAGGCGCGACCTGGTGCTCGCGGCCGGCAGAGCGGCCGCCCCTGGAAGGGCGGCCAGCCCGGCCTGAACTAGATCGAGACGGCCAAACCGGTGCGCAGCCATACGGTATACCAATACTCAATATGTTGAATAGGGTAATATGCTAAAATTCAGAATATCCACTAATATCAGTGAGTTTAACAAATCTACAAATACCAAGGAGACTCGTCACTCCAGGTCTAAAGCACCACGCTTCGAAAGTCTAGTACCTACCGTATTGCAAATTTCATCTTCATTCAATGGAATATTCCGCCTATTGTACTATTGTAAACTGAGCGATTGCAGCATTTTGCTGCCTACATTTTTACGAATATTGGTGGCCCAAGAGGCCACGAACTTTCAAAATGCGGCCCTTTAGGCTACGTGCGCGCGCATGTGAGGATAACGAAAAAGGTTAAGGAATTTTTGGGAGTAATGCTGACGTCAGCATAGCAACCAGCTGAAGCACCGGGCGGCGGGTACTACTACGGTTAGTAAACGACTCAAGTTGGACGTCGGCCGAGAGCGGCGCGGCGGCCGGCGGAACCTTGTCTGATCAGTGATGAAAAATATGGCATCCAAAAAAAGCTTGTATAAAGCACCGGTATCATGTATGTATAAGCATTGGCAGTTACCGTATACACCTCAGAAGGCTCATATAATGTCATATTGCTTCAGTACTTCTACCGTGAGGATTTTGACTATTCATATCCAACACAAACGGTCTGGTCCGGATTTGGACCCACGAGTCACGACGCTGGTAGGACTACGTAATAGGAGTCGGAGTTGGGACTACAGGCACAGAAAATATATCAGGTTTTCCCTTATAGGTATGCGTACAATCAGAGGATATTGCTCTTTCAAAGGGACTTGAATTATAGCTTCTGTCTACCGCCGGCGCTAGAGCTTATGCAGCTATGCTAGCTCAGTGTCCGTATATCCTGCCGCCCGTTTGACGGGTGCTAGCCCCTATAGGGCCCGGGCTAGCTTTAGGAGGAGATTACGGATAGCTAATTTGAAATGTGAATATATTGGGAACCGCCCGGGGGACGTCTAAGGTTTACCGTTCAAGCCTGGTGCCGTTCCGTGACCCGTCCGTGACCGTGACGCTGCCTTGGTGACGTCAGCATACAATGACGTCACTAACAAGCTTTTGCAGTTAAATAGATAGTTAGTTAGCTAATCAGGTTCCGAAAAATTCCAAAAATTTCCCCTTCTATCAATTTACCTACATTCCAGACCAACCAATCAGGCTACCCGTATACCTACTCAGACTCTTAGAACTATAGTCATTTACAAAATCCAATTAAAAACTAACCACATGCCAGATGTCGGTGCTGAGTTACATGCAGAGGGATCCCGCGCTATGCAGGTCAGTCCATACCACTGATCTCTCAACCTGCCAAGGCTCAGCCGCCAGCAAGGCCAAGGTCAAATGCGAGCAATGTGGTTTATGACAGCGAAGCATCAATACGAAATCAAAAGCTGTGAGGGCCGCCATCCAAGGAGCTGTACACGTGGATTACTCCCGCGATCAGCGCGGGGACTAGCACGCATTGGTTTCTTGGAATCAGCCGGTGGTTGTATCTGAATGAAAGCCTTCTCCTAAGACAGTCTTTCGTGGTTAGCCTTCAATAAAACCTTTCTCATTTTACCTCCTGGCAGGACAGTCAAGCTGGCTCACATGGAGCACTTTGTCATGAGGTTGTACTGGTCCCTTGGCATGTGTGATATGATTTGCAGGAGGCTTGACTGAGGCAAGCGTTGAAAGCCAGAATTTTTGGTTGCTTCGGAAGATAATTATCTGCCTGCTCCACTTGCAACCAAAACCAATCAGGAAGAGTTGCATCTGAAGGAGCAATCCGGTCTTTTGTATCAGAGCAGAATGACGTCAGGATTTGGCTGGCCAAGGCGGACAGGGGATCTCGCTCTTCAAGGGTCAACCGACCATGTGAGTGGCACTGGTAGAACAACAGATATGAGAAGAGGCTGCATGTTCATCACAGATCTTGGTAGAAGAGGCCGGAAACAGGTGTACTACTTCAATGTTTTAAAGAAGCTGAGCACGATATGCAGCTACAACATGCAGGGTTTGAAGAGGCAGTAGGGAAATCACAATTGTAGGTTGCTGCCTTGCATGACAAGTCACCCTGGTTCCTGTCAAATGAGAGGTTTAGTGAACCTAGACAATCTCTCTTGATCATTCCAAATCAATCAGAAATGTTACCTCTCAAGCTAACCGTAAGACTCAACTGTAAGACCAGTTGGTCAATTTTACTTGTTCTTCTTCCTGACAGATGACCTCACCTATAGACCGGCAGTGCAATACTATGATTTCTAATGTTGGCAAGGGCTTCCATATTCTTTTCTCTTGGCAAGGCTTTGCTATTTGACAACAATCATGCGGATTGTTTCTGCACCAGCGCTCGGTCTTTGCATCAACGCCGTCAGCGGCGACCTCCGTGTTGGAAGGGGATTGATTACATTGAACACAATCGAAAGATGAGCCGAAGAAGGATAGCCAGCTAACAAAATACGGTCAGCCGACTTCAAGATGATTCCACTTCTGACAGGTGGACACCAACAGGGCTCGGGATACCCAGAGACCCATTTCCTTAAGCCCGTGCCCCCGTCTCCCTCCCCGCCCTTACGACTTGGGGCACCTGGGTTTTGAGCAGAAAGAAGAGCCTGGATTGGCAACACAAGTGGCGCAGTTGGGGACAGGAGGTAGGTTTACTTTCAGTTCCACTTTGAGTCCACTGGCATTTTTCCGTTGCAGATTGGACGAGGCACATCGTGCAAATAACGTTGCATTAACCAATTCTAAGCCTGCAGCAAAAAATTGTGCATTCAACACTATTAAGTTCAGAATTAGGTAACTGTTGAGAGCACTTGATGCAGGAGCACAGTCTAACATCTGAAATTCTGTCAGCTCTGAGTGATGTGCAGAACATGA